TACCTGCACAGCATGAGACAAATCTGACACCAAACAGTGCCTCAGCTTTTCATCACTTCCTATTCCTTGCAAAACAAAGTCAGGGACGTAACACGAACAGTAGCCACCTAGTAAGGATCTTCCAAAATTGGCAATACTGGGCTGGACAGAGTTCACTTCAACTAATTTTGACCTGCAAGAAAAGCATATCAAAGAGATGTACAATAGTAAAAAACAAATTCAGCTTACAGAGAGGTTGCATCTTCACATTTAGCATCTCTCTTCTAACTCCCATTCAAGCACTTTTTAAAAAGAAAGAGTTCAAAGTCAGCTTTTGCAGCCAGCCCATTCTGGAAGAAAAGGATACGAGCCAAGATCGCAATGCACAATTAATATTTTTTTCCAGACCGCTGATCTCTCTATATTCTTTTACAACCAGCAAGCTCAAGAGACACTTTTCCAACCACTGATGCCAAGTTAGGCTACATTCCTCCAAACATGTGACACGAGAAGAGGCTCTTATCTTTTTTAGGCGCTATTACTGCTGAATAGTGCTTACCCAGGGAAGGGAATCTCGTATTCTTCCGCCCAATCTTCTTGCTCCCCTCCGTAATAGTTACCGCTTGGTCTAGTTAGATCATGACCTGTATCCTCACTTTCGCTGTCACCCAGGGCACTATCTGAACTCTCATTTCTTGGAATGTCCCAATCAATTCCCGGGGCGACTTTTTTCTCTATGTTTTCTCTGTCCCCATGGGGGACGCGAATAGAGATTTTCTCTCTTTGGTCCTGCTCATTAAAGCAGTTTTTGTAGGTCTCTTGTCGAACAGAGTCCATAAATTTACAAAACTCACTAGGTGGTTTGCTAGTCTTTGTACACAGCTTTTTAGAAAACTCTAAACTAGTGTTGTGAGCAAGAAGGTCTGTAGCTGCTTGCCCTGGAATATCATCAATAGTCCGGGTTTCAATTGAACTGTCATCAGTAAAATATTCGTCAAACAGACTCATGCTCTCAGCGTTGTATGCATTTGGATTCCAGCTCTGATGCTCACTAGCAACTTGAGGAAAGGGTTCAGCTGTCCCACAGTCTCTATTTTGGTCCTCAACAGTTTGTTTAGCTTCACAGTTCTGATCAGCAGGCACTCCTTCCTCTGTTGCTGGCGGGCTGTGATGCCTAGCAATTTGTTCCACTACTGCCTGACTTCTGAGTTCGATGTCTGAATCGGGTGACATGGAATCTCCGATGAGGAAAGTCACCTTTGTCTGAGCTTCGGCAGCGCTGCAAGGAAACACATCGCAGAAGAGCTTATCCGGCGGCTTCTTTTCCACGGCAATACCGGGTGACCTTGTTACACTGACCGCCTGGTTGCCCGATTCCAGCGAGTCTTCGTTCCTCCACACGTTTGCTGTTGGCTCCAAACCAGATTCCGTCACTACACGTTTTTCTGGTGAAGCTGACCCTGTGCACACCACGATCTCTAGTTTTGTGTCCAGGCAGGGTCTCGGTTGCTTAACATCAACAGCATCTTCCTGGCAATCGTCAGGAACAATAGTTCTGTTCTCATCCGAAGAGGTTTCCAGCTCTACCTTAGGAGTGTTTTGAGCATCTTCTCTCTCCTGCTGTGAAACAGCTTCTATGTTTTGTGCAAGGGAAATCGGACATTTGCAATATTTACAGCTACAGTTCGGAGTTCTCACTTCTTCAGACTCCGTCGGCAGCAAGTTGCCCCTGTTCTTGTGCATTGTGACAAGCACATACTCAGATTCTTCTACTTCTCCTTTCTCCAGCGTGGTAGTTATAACAGTTCCAGGCATGACAATGGCTTCATCTTCCCCGTTTTCTAGAAGATGTGTCTCTTGAAGCTCAGAGCATCTGATGAAGTAAGTAAGGAAATAAAGCAATCTCTGTACCAGGTCATGCCTTTTGCCAACCACAACTGTTTTTGCTAATCTCACAGGTGATCCAATAGCCCCATACAGGTCACCTAGAATAGGAAATAAAACAGACAATTATTTTGCATCTTTACAATAAATTATTCTTCTAACAGACAATTGTTGTGGCCAGTTTTCAACGGCCAGGTCTACAACAGAAAAATACTAAAGCAGAAGAGTGAGGACAGCTATGCTAGTATTTTATTTTCAATACAGAGAATCCCAAAGATGCTGTTGGTATCGTATGTAAGGTGACACGCTGGTCAGGGAGACATCTGATCTCACGTATTAGGGGGTATTCGCACCACCTAACTTCAGTGTCTAGCTTTGGAGGCTCGTCTCCTGGGTTCCTTATATAGCCATGGGAGAGACGAGGCATCTGCTCTGAATTACCCTGGATAGTCTGGAAACTGGGCTGAACTTTTACCCACCAAGAGAAAGCCCTAAGAAGAAACAAACCTAGGCCAAGAATGAGGGCAAAAAGTGACAGTGGCGGGCGCATAGCTGAAGCCAACCTTCTTCTCTTCCCTCCCCTTGAGCTCTACTATGGGTTGCATGGGTTGTTTTGACCGTACTCCAGATTCACCTGAGGAAGTGCCTGTGTTGTTCTGGAGGTATTAGGGCACCGCATGAATGCGGGGATGGGGGGACAAGGGATCCAAGAGGCCTCGAAGGCCAACCTAAGCACAGTGGGTCCCTTGAGTCCCATGAGCTCTGAAATGAAGTCTTCTTGCCAAGTCCCTAGCCATTCCTGCCTATACCAGAACAGGGCAACCTTGCAGAAGTTTCCTTTCCCTTCCCTAACCAAATTCCATGAGAGTTTGTGTGCACAGCAAGACAATCTGACCGGAGAGTAGGAAGCTCATCTCCTCTTCTCTACTCAGCAATTAGAAGACAGTGTGACTAGCTACTCGATCGACTAGGCTTTGAGACCTTACCCAGGGGGTTGCCTAGTCACGCCTGTACTGTGTCGCTCCTCTGCCTGTTGTATTGAGAGTCTGTTCATTTCTTATCAAAAGATGGATTTCCTTGGTTTGCTCTTTCCAGAACCAGGCTTATTGATAGCAGCATTCCAAAAAATAAAAATCGATTTTCCTTATAGAGGGAGGACCAGAGGAGGACTGGAATCCCCCATCATCACCAGGGCAGGTGACCTTAAGAGACCTGCCATAGATGACTAAAGAGGGCCTTACTTTTTGGCTGCCATTTTATAATTGATAATGCCTTAAGGAATTACAGCACATATAAAAAAACCACAGTGACTACCTCTAAGCCTGAAATACACACTTTTGTCTCATTTTGAATTAAAAAAAAAAAAATTAACTTGGGGGAGGAGTAACAAGCATCCATAAAAACCACCGCGCGCATACCCATTGATGTAAAGCTGTTGGACGGTTTAGAGATGTTTGCCACATACCGAGCTGTGCCCACAGTGGGTTGTATGGATGAGTTTTGGCCAGCATGTCCACGCTCTGGGAAGAATGCTTTTCCAGGAAGATTCTTATCGGTGGCTGGCCATTTGGCATGACGGTAGGGACCCAGGCCAAGTGGTTAGTCAGGACTGCAGTCAGTAAAGCTGGTAAGAACCTGAAAGCAAAATGTTCATCGTTTTTTTCCACGTACACACTCAGGATGTTAAACTGACAGCAGTTCTACAGTCTATATGGATCAAGGATTGCAGAAACAACCTAACAAAGTCGGCAGAGATCATCCCTTCGGTCTTGGTTCTTTGGGGAGAGAAGGGAGGGCTGTACCCTCCCTCCCACCCCTGCAAAGCTCTTTTTTAGAACACACATTTAAAGTAAAATGCAGTATTTTAAACTTGTGGCATCTCAGTTCCTCTGTTTGGCAATAATTATGAGACTTCCTATTTTGCAAGCTTTATGTTGTAAAACATCTCAAAACCAACTTACTTTGTTCACTGTAAGAAAACAGTGGCACTGTGTGGCCTCTGTACTCCAAGAAGGAGATCCCAAGCCCTTAAGATCTCTGACCACTGATGAGAAGGAAGACTATTGCTACCAAACCTGTAAAATAACTAGGTGCTGTAGTCTTTCATCTAACTGTCATGCAATTTCAGCACATATGGCTGCTCCTTTTCAAAAATAAAAACCCCCAAAGTTCTGTAGCTCAGCCAGAAAGGCTGTGTCCTTACACTGGCAAAACAGTTTTCACTAGCTAAGCAAGTAAGGTGAAAAACCTTTCTGAAAAATGTTAACTATCTGATTTATTGTAACGATAGCGCATGGTTTCTGCTCCGCGGAGGGAAGACTTTCCTTCCCAGTCCCCTTTCCCGGCAGGAGGAGCGTGCAGAAGTGCAGCCAAGAGCCTCCCGCATGCCAACAGATGGTGCTGGCGGCCGCCGCAGCGGCTCAGGTGCCCAGGGAGGAAAACAGTCGAACGCCACCGAGCCTCAAAATAATGCTATTTAAGTAGTTTACAAGCATCAGGAACCCTACAGTTTAAATTTAGGCCCATTTCCTCGCTGGAGACAGCCAAAGGAGGAAAGGAGATTTAAAACTGGATTGAAAAGGATATGGGGCTTGATTTTCCTCTTGCTTCCATCAGTGTAAATCTTACTGTATTTAAAACAAAGCAAGCAAACAAACCCAAACAAATGCCCATTTAAATGTAACCGAGATGTACAGGGCTCAGAAAGGCAGGGACCAAAGGGGCTAATCCCAGGAAAAAGCTTCCACTGCAGCAGGAACCGATTTTAAGAAAATACAGTTTCTGTATTTTCTTAACTCCCTACGGTTTCTCCCATTGCACTGAGGCAGGAGAAGGTGGACCACGCTGACCGCTAACTGTCCCCCTCCCATCTGGGGGAAAGAAAAGATGACAAAGTTGGCGGCAAAGCTGGAAGACGGTGAGCAGCAGCCCCTTCCCCTGCGACCGCCCCTTCCCCACCCTGCAGGGAGCAGATTCCCCAGAGCTAACAGCTGGTCTTTCAGTGCCATTCCCACTCAAACTTCACATGTTTGTGCTCGTTTTAGGACTTCGGTGGAGCCAAACGCTTTAAAAACTTCCCCTATTCATGCCCTGGGGAAAGAGGATGAAGTGTTGACAAAAGAGTAAATTTATCAGATTCTCCTGAGTTTATCAAGAACATTCTCTTTCTCAATTTTTAACAACTGCTCGGGGCTTTGTCCTGAGGGCAGAAAGGTGAGTACTAATGAAGCACACAATTTCTTTAGTGGCATTTTACAGAAGTCAGGTTTAATAGCAATTTGCGGTCAGACAGTATTACAGACACGGCTCTTACTGAATGTCTAACCTTGCTCGTCATATGATAACTGATTTTGAAAGGTAGATTAATGCATTTCATAAGGTATGTTCACCCCCTTCCAGACATACACACCCATCACGCGCTTCCTATGGACATGTTTCAAATGTTTAGCCTCTACCAAGATTTAGAGGATTGTGGGGAAGCAGGCATTTAATGAGATTCTTTCTAGTTTTTGTTTTTGTTTTAAACAAAGTATTTATGGATGGTCTTTTGATTCTTTGATTACCCGGATTTTAAAAACAGATTCAAAAATTGGTTTGAAATAAAAAGGCATAAGCACATATGCAATTTAAAAACTAAAATCCACCATACTGGTTTTTAGAAGCATTTTCCATCAAAAAAGTGAATTCCTTCATGAAGCGATGGCAAAGCTGGTTCTTTTCTGGTGTCCCCGACATCATAGTAAGCCAGACAGGCTCCCCAATCCGTGGCATCGTGTAGAGATTGCAAATAGTCGTTCTAGAAAGAAAAAAAAAAAAATCCAGACTAAACAAAATAACGAAAGGCAGAGATCCCTATTCAGAGAATTTACTGCAACCTTTCGTTCCAGCTGTCATTTCTATCAGAAACAAAATTTCTCTCATCAACCATTATCCAAACCATGTTGTTCATTAAATAGTATTAATTCACCCTTCCACCTCAGAGTTAAGCGTCACAGGTTCTTCATGCATCTACCTGCACTGATCCCAAGCACAGCAGCATTCACCGTCAAAAGTCAAGAGCTGCCCTGTTCCGAATGGAGAAGAAATCAATGGTTTTTTGTTGTAACCTCCCTGCTTTCTCTCCATTTCATTTAAAACATGTAAATCCTCCATAGTTCTGCTTGATTTATGACTAGGGCAAGTTTATGTGCATCTGACTTATAAAAATACCTTAACTTCCTCCTTGCTTTAAAAAATTGCTGTCTCTCCAGGCCAACCCCACCAAAGTGGGGATTTGTAGAGAAGGCGACCAGGTTACTTCTTTAGCTTTAAATAAAGTGCGTGAGAGTCAAAGTTACCCCACGGTTTCAAGGATGGTGCACCTACCCACATCCTTTTTGACTCTACAGAGGACAGTAAATACACGATTAAAACTTTAGCTCTGCAGTAAAACACCAGATTGAAACCCCTCAGATTACTGTTAAACTCCTCTAAAATCTGAACCAAATTATAGTTTTAAGTACAATGCCTATGTTACGACGCTATAGGAACCTGTGTTTTCATCGCGGTAAAAATGTAAGCCTGAAAAAACACAGAACAACAAAGGAAATGACTGATCAATTCAGGTTTCTCCCCACCTAATGCACTACTTTTTCTAGAAGAGATCTTTTTGTTTTACAAGGCAAAGATTTACACTATCCCATTATCCCTAGTACCACCCCTGATTTATAAAGATCTTCTCCGATACGCTGGTCGAAAAATTTATAGACACTTCCAGAAGTAAAGCAATGGCTCTGCACGTCAGGAAGGCAAACACACTCAAGCAGCAGCTGCCAAATCTTCTGTGGTCTAGTGTTTAAAATGAAACTCCCTAGGAAGTGAGAGCCCGGCACGTCAGCAGCAGAGCAGCACACAACGGTGCCGGTACGAGGGGCACTCAGGGGAGGACGGAGTTATTCCCTGGTTATTCAGCAGAGAAGAAAGCAGCTGTACGGTGACGAGACCCCCTGAGCAGCTCCCCAAAGGGCGGCAAAGGTGACCGTGCACTGTGCCGAAGTCACCAGGACTGCTCAAGAAGAAAGGGGGTGAGGGGGGCAGCAGCATTTTCTGCCATTTTTTTTCCTACCAGTTTTCATTAAATACAAAATCCACCCTGTGTGTTCACAACAGTCAAAATCAACCCTGTCTTCCTCAAAGGTTAGCTTTTCAGACACTCCACTGCCACAGGCACGATGGGAAAGCCAGAAAACAGTCAACGGGCTGGAGAGGGGGGAAAGTCAAATTACCAGACCCACCAGCACTCAGAGGGCTTGCTGTTTGCTGGGTCAGTTTAGAGCAGCCTCAGAGCGGCTCTACATTAACCCTCTGCTGCTGGTCCTCTCTTGGGAGAAGAGCACAGACTGATTACAGACCTGGGCACAACAGTCCTGCCAGGTTAGACACGAGCGGGGGGCATGCAGCCAGGGGACACCGGCACCGCGGTGGGAACCGGAGGGTCTCCGGCAGCGCAGCGCTCTTGGGGCACCAGGATTTCATGCCTCAGCAGTAGCGAGTTGGGACTAGCGGTGGGATTATTAAGGGAAAGGTTTCTGTTCACAGCCCATTAACTGGAGTGGATGTTAAAGAGGCCCAAAGAAAGGGAGAAACCCCAAGTCCAGGGACTTCAAAGCTCAAAACAAGTATTGAAACTTACACCCCCCAGACACAGCTGACCTTAGAAGCTGAAGATCAATCGCACAACTTAACGTAAAATACAGTTTATTTCTCCTTCGCATGCAAACTAACCCAAGCCAAGCCTCTTGCAGCTCGGCTGTTTTGAAAAAAGAAACTACTTCTATACTAAAACCAACATATTAAAATATTTGTTTTTGTTGAAAAGATAGACCGAGTCTTGTGATTCGTTATTTACTATTCTGGTAACCCTGGCTGCATCTGCAACTGATAGTGTTTCCTCAGAGAGAGATCAGATTGCCCTGGCCGGCGGCCAGCAGGCATGTGACTGCAGTGCAGGGAACCCTCCATGCCAGCGCAGGCAGCAATGGCACAGAAACCAAGGGCAAGGATTAACTGCTTTCCAGCTCTGCAAACACGGAGGGAAACGCTCTCCCTTCTGTTTATTAAAGAACAAAACAAAAAAAAAAATAAAAAACCCCAAAACATTACAGGGAAGTTAGCCGGATTTAAAAAGTAACAACCACTAAAAATCTGCAGCAAGCAGCCCCCTCCCCTCCGCTTGCCGTCCCCCACGCACACCAGCATGCAAGGGAAAGTTCAGTTAATGAGAGAGACTGTTCTTTTGAGGGCTCCAGTACATTTAAAATGGTTTATATTTGGAAATGCTTCTGGCTTGCCGAACTCTAGCCTGGAGCTGACGGGCACCTCGGCACCAGCGATGGGTGCAGCAGGCGCAGGGGCTGGGGGAGCTCCTCAGGAAACACCTTCGCATCGAACAGCGGCTTGAAACCAAACAGAGCACAGCCCAGCCAAACGAAAACGAAGACCTGAGCAAAACGGCTCCTACAAACCCTCTGGGGGTTTGCCTGCTCTGCGGGCGCAGATGGCACCGAGGCGAGCAGCGCGGGGCCGCGGCAGCCGCCCTCCGCACGGCGCGGCATGGCCGTGGGTCAGGTGTTGTGCTGCTCTCTGCTTCCTGCTTCACCCTCGCCCAAACACACCCGCAAACCTCCCCGGCCTTTGTCCTGGATTTTAGCACCAGTCCGAGTCGTCTTTCCCTGGGGCTGCACAAACCAAACGAGTGGCTGGGCGTGGATGAGAGCATCCCTCTGCAGCCCCTTTCCTCCCTACGGAAAACACTTCCGACCCTCAGCACCGTGCTGTGAGAGCTGCTCTGCTATTTCAGAGTTGCGATACAATAGCAACAACAGAACAACAATCTCTTTAGGGATTGTTTCAAAAAAGAAAAATAATCACTGGTTTATAAAACTTAATTCACATGCATTTGCTCCCTATCCTCATTCCTTCCTTCCAAAGATTATTTTTCCTTAAAAAGGAAGAAGAAAACAAAGGCAATAATTGCTGCAATGAGTGCAGGAGCGGGGCTCCCCCGTGCAGGGAGCCCATGCGACTCCTGTGCCCATGCACAGGGGCCAGCCTGCACCGCTGAGCAAGACGCACCACTCAGTTCACGGCAGCATAAGCTGCTTAAAAATTACTGGCATAAAACAGGATCACATCTGACTGCCAGAAAGCAGAGAGAGGTGTTTCCCTAGGCCTTGCGCTCAGTGTTTCCTTGCCAGTCTGCATATTTGCCACACAGGTATTAGTCAGATGCATAATCTGTATTACCAATGTGCTGCATTGGCCTCAGGGACCGGGGGAGCTGAAATGTTTATGCAAGTACAGTAGCTTATTTCATAAGTCATGTGTCTGCACAGCTGACATCCGAAGAGGGTTTTAAGCCTCTAAGTCAAGTGTTAATAGCTAAATCCATCAGTGCTTTAGAAAATTAAAAATTGCTGTAAAGTGAAAAGTGATGCAAGGGTAGGCCTGGAGCTAGGCACCAAACTGATGGCAAATTTATCAATAGCATCAATTTGCAGAAGCAGCCTAGGCCTTTCAGAGAAGGCAGCTTTGTTTTTCCCAGGATGAGACGACAAGAGCAAAGGAAGGGGTCTGTTTTGCTGTCTCCTTTTCACCCCCCCTCAACCCCCACTACTGGCAGGTAAATGCCTGTAAATACCTGGCTGACCCTGCAGCCAGCTCCTTACAATAACCCTGCTTGCAGGCTAGCAGCTGGCTGACCTACAACCACAGCACCTTCCCTGCAGAGGGGGACTTTTGGGTGGCAGGCGGCTACGGTAACAACCGTCACACTCCCTCCTCCCTTCTCTGATTCAGCACGGCAGCATGCAGCCGGTCCCCCCCATGCCCCAGCGATTTGAGGTTATTCTAATCACCAGAGGAGTGCACATCAGCTACACTTGAGAACCTCCGAAAATCTGGGCTTTAAAAAAAAAAAAAATTCTCCTTCCAAAAAAAAGGAAAAAAAAAAAAAAGAAAAGGAAAAAAAAAAGAGACTGCAATGAGTTAAACCAGCACGGGATTACGTTTTAGAAACACCAACCCACTGAAGTCAGCACTCTTCTTCCCTCCAGCACAATTTGCTAAGAGGGCAGGAATCAACGCAAGTTTCAGGTTCACCAAAGGACTCGGGCTCCTGACTTCCCCGTGACTTCAGCGGGAAAGCAGACGCCTAAGGAGATAATAGTGGCCTAAATGGGTTTGCTGAACCTGCGCCAAAGCATCTCTGCATCCAGCCTTCAGTATTTAAATACGCCTTTTTTTTCTTACCAGACACATACTGCATTGCTTTGAAAAGCAAGCGGCTCTTGCATGTTACAGAAACGCTTTTCTTGACGGCAGCACTCACTACCACCCCGAGATACCCCGGGGGCACGAGGACCTTGCCCGCCTGCAGGACCTGCCCGGGCTGGGGGCACTGGCTGGTGTGTGCCTCTGAATGCCCTCGCTTTAAAAAAAAAAAAACCAGAAACACCAAAAAAACCAAACCCACAGAATTGCCAAAGTCTGCTGCCCCAGGAAATTCATTTATATGAAATTAAACTGGATTTAATTTACCTCGTTACACTATTAAAGAGTAATATTTATATCACCATGGAAACCTCGGCATAAAACTGGTAGTTAGACACATGCTTCCAGTGCTGGTTACGCAATGGCCGTGTCATGTGAATGATGGCGTCTTACAGCGGCTCAGGAGAGTGCCAATCCTCTGATGTCCGGTGGGACATTATTTTCCTCCTCAGCCCGACAAGAGCAGCCTTCTTCATCCCATCCCAGCTCAGCGCCGCTGAGCTTCCCTCCAAGGAGGAAAAAGCTAGCGAGGGGGATTTGGCTTGTGTTTTCAGGGTTATTTTTCCTACGTTTGACTTGGGATACGCGCCCCTCCCCACCACTCTGGAACTGTTTAACTTGGAAGGACAAAGGAGAATGGGCAAAGTCTGCCGAATGTATCTTGAGGGGGAATGTTTTGGGGGAAGTTTTGGGAAAAACAGCTGGGGAGGTGGTGTTATCAGGGGTTGGGAATGCAGAGAAATGGCTCTGGGTGAGAACAGGGAGGAGAGGCAGAGCAGAGCTGGGGGGAGCGGAGGAACCACCGTGGCTGCTCAGAGTTGCTGAACTCGTCTCGGGCCCCTGGGCAGGATCGGCAGCTCCCAGCAGTCACGAGCTCCCTCTGCTCCTTCTCTTGGCACTGCTTACCCCATCCACCTTTCACCGCAGGCCCACGTGCTCGCTCTTCCCTGCCCTCCTGTCCCTACCAAACACATCCTCTGCCCTCCCTCGCAACCGCCCGGAGGTGAGGTTCTAAAAAAACAATTAAAAAAAATTTAAAAATATACTGTGCCTTCATCCTGCAACACGACCTAATCCGTGGCATTCAGGTAGTAAGTGGAATTGTAGAAAAATGAGTGAGCTCTGACGATCCTTCACTGTTCAGTAAAATACATCCCGATATCAGGATTTTCTTTTTACAACATCAGAGCACTGTCTTCTATAATGTCTTTAAAAAGTAGCTCTACACTGGTTGGAAAAGGAAGCACCCTGCCACTCCCATCTGAGAGGAGATGAATCACTTGAAACAGACGGATTTCATCTTAATTCCCTCCCCATGACTTAAACTATGGAAAGAAAATACAGTTAAATGCCAGGGATGTGCTTATCTGCGTTACTTTGTGTATTTGAATAGAGACGCTCTGCAGGTACTGATAGCAAGGGATTACAGTACTGCATTTTACTGTGTGAAAAAGATAGTCCTTCTTAGTACTGATTATCTGAAACGCCTTTAGAGCAGAATTTAAAGCACAGTAAAGGTCTTGCTTTGCTCACACATCAGGAAAATATACACTAGAGGAGGATTTCCCTGACGCGGCTTTGCAATTCTTTTTCCCCTCTCAACAGGCCGTAAAAGATAATTTAAGAGGTTGCTGGGAGCTTCATTACTACCTAAAGCACAGAAAACCTTGATCATCTTTGTCCTGTTCACGCCAAGCCCTGATGGATATACACAGTTGGCAAAATCTAAAAATACAAACAGATTATAATGGCTTGCTATCACCAATACCTTTATTGTACTAACTTCTGCAGAAGACTTTAGACATTACAAGTTACTTATCCTGCACGAAGGAGAAGATCCTCCTAAAACAGACTTGAATGCTTTTGAAGAAACAGACACAAAAGATAGGAGACAAACTGCTCACCTGAATTCATTAAGGGCATCAACAATTCTGTTATATGCCAAACTCCGCTGACTGGCATCAGCTGATCTACGACTCATTTTCATAGCCTTGAAAACAATCATTAAACAGATAAGTAACACATAGCTACAGAAGCACAGAAAATGGAAAACGAAGTCATGTGTTTGACTTTATCTTTCATGCAACTAGTCATGCAAATAATTTTTTTGAAGTGATAAAATGATGGTACAAGTGCCAACTTTCATATCTGAGGAAAGATAGGTGAGGCACATGCATTTGCAGCTTCTGCTTCTTCTGTGCTTTTCATCGTTCAAGGCATAAAAGGGGTCAAAGTTTTCACTGCAGTGGCAAAGTAACCACTAAGTGTTTCCTAGAAGAGAGATTTGAAGCACATCTAACCGCACATTTCAAACTTTGATCTTTGAAAGTTTCCTACACATCAGAATCAGGGGGCTAAAAAAAAAAAAAAAAAAGAGAAAGAAAAAAGCTCAATAATTTATTTACAGCTTGGAATAGCCTCGAGATAGGCTCTGACCCTGCCATCCACTAGACTCAGATACAGCTGAAGCAGGGAGGTAGAGGTGGCCTTAAAAGCACCTTTCCCCTTGGCTGATCCAGGGCCTGCTAGGAGCTTACACAGCTTAGTGACTGTTCTAGCTTTCAGCAATCCGTGTAGCGTAATGCAGCATGCTCTGTCCTCACCCTGTGTTGTGCTTTTGCTAGCAATAAGAAACATCATCAAAGATGCTGTGGAGCAAAGCTCTTCCCTGGTGCAATTCCAATACCCAACAGCAAGTTGATCCCACGTTTGTAAACTAGTAACAAGAGTTAGGAATTAAATCTGACGGGGCTGGGGGGAACATACAGCAATACAAGTGCAAGAATCAAGAGAGACTGTGTTTACCTGTTCTATTGCACTCTTCAGTTTGTTCATGTGACTCTCAAAAAGAGGAAAGTGTGAGAAGAAGAACTCATTAAATTTGTTGTTTTCATCTTCATCTCTTGAGAGTGAAAAAATAACCCCAATTGCTATCTTTTTCTTCCTAACAATTCCTGGGCTAGGACCAGAGCTGTCATCTGACAAGTTAAAGCTTTCATCCATGGACCTTGAAGCATGAAAAAAATAGAAAGTTAATGTAATCCACTGCTTAAAGTTGAACCTCGGTTTCCTGTGTAATTCAATTCTTGAACATTACTGCAATAAACATAGCTTCAGTAAACACCTTTTGTTCGCACGTGTTGTCAAATCATCACCTTTGATAACATCCACTTTGCAATTTTTTACAAGCAACCATTAATTGATCCTGCAATCACAAAAGCTGGAACCAGATTCAAAGTGTTTGTGGGATCAGAATATGGTATTTTAGTTCTCTCCCATCTCTGCCAAGAATTTGTGTTTTGAGTGGGACTTTAGGGCTGCTTCTCCTCAAAAGCAGAGCCTACAGGTTTACATTTTGCTGAAGGCTTTCTAGTTAGTGCAAAACAATGAATGCTGAGAAGAAAACAGATACTAAAAAAAAAAAAAATCAGGCGTTGAAGTGCAGCCTGACTTACACCTCTGTAAATACCCCACAGAAAGCAACAGCAAGAGCAGATGTACATATGCCAGAGCAGAATCAAGCTGACAATGGTGGAAAATTTATGGGCAGCAACAGCATTTTCATTCCCAGCTCACCATCGAGGGAAGACCCCATTCTCCAAGCTGGTAGTCTGACTGCGACGCCAACGCCTCTGGTAACTGCTAGCACAGCTTTTGTTAAACGAAGAGCCCGGAGATGGAAACGGAGTGATGAGCAGACTGCTAAGAGATGCTGCAATAATAAGAGGAATAAATAAAAATTTCTCCAGAAGAAAGAGCATTTGGAAAATAATACCAGCAACTAAACGAAGCCCCTCAAGATAAACTGGTGTTGCTTCTCAAGTACCTTCTCTTTTGCTTAACTATGTTTCTTATCTAAAAATAACCAGTTTATAACAACATTAACAAGATATACAAGCACCACAAGGGTGGGACAGTCCTGCAGCTTTACATGATAGGCAACATACAGGCTGCACCTTGCTCATCAGCCCTAAGTATTGGGAAGTAAATTCTTTGTGGAAAGGAGTAACGTTAATCACATCCTGTAACAGCCTTTCCAAACCTAACCTTAAGTGCCCAGTATCCTGAATTTGGGGGGAAGGGAGAGGGGCATTGTGTTCATGTTTTAACATTACCATCCTCCTCAATTTGGAAAGGAGATGACAAGTATCGTTTAGAAATGCTGCAAACTCATTCCAGTATTTAATTTGGCTTCCTTATTTGCAGCATGCTTTAGTAAATTGCACTGCTGTTCCGATTACCTCTGTGAGGTTCCTAACTCAATACCCTTGACGCCTACAACATTTGTACACATACATATAGGTATGCATTAATGCTTATACATAACAAAACAGAACAATCACATTTCAGCGCAGGAAAAAACTATTTGATGATGTCTAGACATCTCAGTGACGAATATTACTGAATATTTTTGGAGTCTACAGGGTCGACACATGGAACTGACATTACCAGATCTTGCTATACCGCTGTCTCTGTCCTCATTCTGCTCCCTCCCAGGCATATCCATAGGGTTGCTATGAACTGTAAAACAAGGAATACCAATTAGCAGGGGAATATACAGTTCCTTTCTTGTGTGCAGATCTCCATGTAATTAATGAAACAAAAACATGCTCATTAATTCAGATCAACAGCACTGCACAAGGCCATCACCAAGAAAGGCTGCTTAGCTGAACAAGCCAAAACACTTATCTGAAAAGCCTGTATGTATTTTTCTGAAGTCCACACACCTATTTTAGTACAAACTAAAACCAGTACACTTTGTTTCTTTACAGAGATATTTTTCAATGAAATTTTAATGTACCAAAAGGATATTGGTCACATTGGTAGTACTCAGTGTATAGAGAAAAGCCCCACCAAAACCAATATAAACACGACTTCATTCATATACCAGCTTTCTCAGGTATTTTATATATATATATAATTTTAAAAGGATTTTACAATGCTGTCTTGAAGAAAATAAATACTTTTAAATTGTGAGCAGTGCATTGGTTGTTCATCTAAACCGTAAGCTGTCCAGATTCACAGTCTGCATATACACAAGATCAAAAGTGTCTCAGGCTCAACAGCCTTTAAATGTGATACATTTTACAAATACGTGTGTGAAATAAAAGCTACTCAGCCATGGAAATAAGACCCAGCCACTAAAAGCAAGAAATGTCCATTTTAAATGAACCTAGGTTAGCTTTTAGTTTTTACAGTTTGGTTGAAACAAGTCCAGATAAAAATAGCTTGACATGATTGTGAAATATTATTTCCAGAAATATGAAATCCACCACTAAATATATAAGTTTCCAAAACAACACAACCAACCCACCCCAAAGAGGACTATTACAATGCCTGCTGTCCTCTGGGGATTTACAGCATGTATCCAAAAAGGTAAGAGAGCAGACATCACTGTCCATTTTGCATTTAAAAAAATATAAATCTTATTTCCAGGGCTAAACTACAAATCCACACAGTTTTGTCACACCAGCTAGACTAGCCACACAGCACAGCACACAGCATACTGCAAACCTGCAAAGAAAGAGGCGCTCCGGATCAGGCGGAGCGGACCTTGCTCTGAGAATGCCCGCCTAGGGCTGCAAAGCTGTGAAAGACCTACATGGCAAAACGTAAAATACACATGAAAGAATGAGGTTAGTAAAGCAGAACAGTCTGTAGGGAGGGGGCCAGGGCAGGGAGAAGATACAAGCCAACATAAATGCAGACTAACAGTATGCAGGAGAACAGCTCTTAGGCTTAACAAGAATGTTGATTCAAGGATATGGCTTACAGTTGAACTATATAGTGTTTATAGAATTAAAATAATAGACCCAGCTTTACACTGTCTCCCATACAAGGATGGGGTTTCTCTCCAAGGCCCCCCCCCCCCCCCCAAGTTGAAAAAAAATTAATTTATGCAGGCTCAAAGCCTAACTTGATCACAAACAGGAGATTCATCATGGAGTACAATGTTTGTTTTAACATCCACACTGGTGGGGTGGCCGAGGAACACTGTTGCTGAAGACGACGGGGAGGAAGGGGGAGAAGGCAGGCAGAAATTCATCTTAGTAGAACCAACAGAAAATTAAAGGCTGAAGTAGTTGTTCTGAGAACAGTCAGTACATCAGTTTAGCGAAATGATCACACAGAAAATAAATGTTAGCAGTCTCAGTAGTCCATTTTAAAAGTAATACCGGATTGTAGATATACCAGGGGAAGAGTGTACTTACTGTACACAGAGCCAGGAAAAACGCATGGGTATTTTTAATGAATTAATTGCCAGTCCCTCTGCTAAATTTGAAGCTACAGCTCAAAGTTTTCTGATTATACAAAACATGAAGGCTGCACCTCCACAAAGCTCCCTCCCATTCTCTTAGGTCTTTACTCATTAAAGGAAAGGACATGACCAGTGCTCTTTTTTTTTTTTTTAACCAGCATATCTGAAAAAAGCAGCTTGTAAATAGTTCCCATCCAAAACACATAGACCCTTCTCCTATCACAGGCTGGCAAGAGCCAGTGAGTCAGGAGCAGTCTTTGCTGTTGAACACAGTTGTTAGAAATGCTGCAGTTACAGATTAACTTCTTTACCTACTTTACCCATGGTTCCTTCTGCGCTGAAACAGGAACTGTAAACAAACACTGTCGAACCGACTGAAAATTTGTGCAGCTCAATTACAAAGAAAGTTTCAGCATCCTCTTCTAGAAGGCAATCTCGTCACTTCTTGTTGCATGCCCTTGCACCGAGGTGCACACCTCCAGGCCAGCTCTCAGGGCAGTTATCCTTTCTGCTCGGTGGGGAAGAGCCACCCTCACTACAAAGCCGGACACAGACGAATGGGTGGCACTGACTACACCTAAATCATACTGAGTCCACGCCTAATAGTTGCATTATCTGAATTTGAACTTGCAGTTCAGATCACACTGGTGATACAGCAAACTTTTGCCAAGCACAAACCACAACAAAACCCTAAAAGTAGATGAAGTGAGCGCCTCTCTTAGATCAGGCACCTCATTCACTCATGCACTGTGAGAAATCACAATTGAAGTCTGAAAGGAATGCTGAATATTAAGAAAAATGCGTATTTCTAACTTTCCTGACTTAGTAAATTCAGGAAGCATTTAATAGATAATAGGTTCTTACAGCATTAATTGGCTTCCCTTAGAAATGGACTACTGGGAATGATTTTAATGAGGTATACAGCTTTTGAGCCTGAAAAGCATTTAAGTCCATGCTTAAGCATAGTCTTATCAAAGTCAGTGTGAAGGAGAGAAGTAAACACACCTGACAAGAATTAGGACCATGTCAAAGCCAGAAACCCAGCTACAGCAACAAAGACATCAAATTCACTCCTTACTTTCAACCCTAAAAAAGTGTATTTTACATACATTCTGGAAAGCAAACGTAAAAAGAAGCCCCTTATTCCACCTACTAGAACAGACATTTGCTTGGAAAGTCAACAATCTAAACCAAGGGAAAGGGAGGATGTGCTGAAAAGCTCATCAGCCTGCTATACTGGACAGCCAAGCCCTAAAGTACAGTATCTTTACTATCAGGTCTACCGCTCCCACAGGGAAAAGCCAAGACCTTCCCCTCTTTCTGTAATCTAACGTTCACGGAGCCTTCACCCACAGCACTTCCACGAAGGCTGAGAACCAAAGATGCCAGATGGCTTTTCAAGACTGCTTAGCTTCCACAGTCAGACAGAGAGAGAAAGAGGAGAGAACAAAAAGATATTCTGTCTAATCTGATCAAAAACTCCAGCGCAACTGTGCAAGGTTAACTTAGACTAGTACGAAACACGCGGCCACATGCACTCAGGTGGCCAGAGTACAGAACAGAATGAAAATTATTAACGAAAATAAAACTGGGGAACTGAGAGAGGCAGAATCAATCCTGTCTGATCAGAGATATGCTGTTTAGAAAGCTCTACAGACTGTTCTTTTCCAACATTTTCTGTATTTGAACTTAAGTATATCTAAATATTCCTATTATGTATTTTATGTACACATATACAGCTGTATATATTGAACCACTGCTAATTCCTTGAACTGTCCAATTTATTCTCCTCCAAACTTCCAACATTAATTTTCTGTTACATCTTTAGCTTTCTTTTTTTTTTTTTCCTTAAATTTGATTCTATTTAGAAGACTTCATATTCTAGAGTCTATGATTACTCAGTTAAAGATACCAGGAAATAAAATCTGTTTGTAATTACCTATATTCCCAAGAAGTCCATTCATAATTGTACTGTGGTCAGGCTTTAATGTATTGCTGTCTTGATTAATGAACTCAAGACTGTCCTGCAACCTGTAACAAACATAAAACATACAACAAAAACAGTGATTTGCATTTCAGTATAGTCTTACTTCATTACAGCCCGAATGGAACGGACAAGATAAGAATGCAGGCTTCCACTAGAAAAAGCTTTCATAGCCTAAGCCACGTTCTCAGGTGGGTCAGTTAATACACAGAAAACTAAACAATGAACCCTCTGAAGCCAAATGTTTTTGTAAGACCGTTTTCTTCATCTTGGACTGAATTCCTCAACTCCAGTGTTATGTCCTCATCCCTTCTCCTTTGGTGGTTGCGGGTACTTTTGTACCTTACAATATCAAGCTTCACCATAGCAGCATTAAAGGAATGGTTCATCTGTTCACTTAAAGCAAACTGAGGTGAAGACAACCGCAAGGGAAAGGTGAGGACAGTAGTGACAGGATGTAACAGATCAGGGAACAAGAAGTCATTTTTCTAGAGAAAGAACCTGGAGGGTCCCAAAAAAGTCTTCTGTGTTCTTACATTCACCTGCTTATGTGCAATAGATACAATTTGTAATGGACTCACGTATTCAGACTTCCGTAGATGCTGCTTCCAGTGCGAGCTGTGAAAACCTTGCTGAGCATGAGCTGAGGAGGTGAGCTAGAGGACAAAAAGGAAGATGTCAGTCAGAAACACAGCGCCAAGACAGGCTTTGTTTTCCATTTCACAACCCTCCAGATTTTACAGACCTAAACACAACCTAACAGCCTTCTGTGTCATCAGAATATTTTAATATTTTGTGACATCAGAATAACTTTAAAGCAAACCCAGAAATTCCTTTTACTCTGCACTTGTGGCATTCGATTCATAACATATTAGCACTAAGGAGTAAGTCTTCTGAAAAGACCAGCAGTAAAAAAATTAATCTTACCGGATCTGGTGAATTTTCAATGTAGAGCCCTTGTAGCTCATGGCCACAGAGCCAAACATCATCTCTCCAAGCATATTAGCATCTGAGGAGCACCGAGAACCCTGCAAAAAAAAAAACAAACCACCAACATTTGTCTTTAAGCATTTTAGAAGCACACTTCTATTAAGGCAACATACAACTAAGAAAAAAATATTCTTTATTTGAAAGATAAACATGCAAAATATCTTGCTGTAACACTGTTGAACACGCTAAGTTGAACAGTTCAATAAAGATAATGCTAGCGTAGAAAGTGATCTTCACATTGGCTGTGAGCTAAACCACTAAGATCATCCAACAAACCTAACCCATCCACAGGGGTGAGGGGAAGCAGATTCAAACTGCACTGAGTCAGGGGACTAAAAAGTTTAAGAGTGTGGTAACACACCTTACTGAACGAGAACCGTTAAGCCTAAACCTTGTCTGCTTGACAAGAAGAATCACAAGTTCACTGGAGATTTTATACAGACTGTGCATTGGAGCCAAGTTGGACCAGTGCTTTCTTGACAAAGACCGATTCATAACTTGTCCACGGATGGTATTTTATATTTGATGCATCTTTCCCTGGTGCTCCTGTGATGGTACCAGCACAGAGCTGTAGCATCATGATGCCCGGCTTAAGTTGTGCAATTCCTGCCTCTCAGTTGGTGAGAGCTTGCTGTAAGGCATACTGGCTAAATACAAAAGAGGAACGTCACTATGCCACATCACAGGCTAGATCAAATACTGCAAACAAAAACCTAAAATTAAAAAGTTACTCAAGGCAATCAACTGGAGACGACTGCTCAGCTGACAGTCATCTTATTTGTATACTTTCAATGACTGAGATTACTGTCCCTTTATGCAGGGCTGTTTCATCTCTAGGCTAGCAGAGTATTAGTGCTGGCTCTCCATTTGTGCCTTGCCCTGAATAATTTAAAATATCGTGATCACACACTCACAGAGCTCTGGCAGTTCATAGATGAGGTACTTCGGTACTGTGCAAGAGAGCAATACATTTCCTTTGAGGTGCATGATAACTAATAACACTTCCTTGGAGTAATCCTTCCAAAAGGTCCCTAAAACCAGTCACAGAAATAACGTTGTGTTTGGAAAATGTTAAGTGCCATATCTCCATATCCCTTATCCAAGCTCTGAACAACCAGGATCCTTACCCGGATTCCTACACAGGCTCGGAATATATTTAAATATTTTGCCCAGCATCAGACAGTGAGCTCAGAGCACAACCAAGGACAGGGTGTCCACACCACGGATTCCTACCAGCAGTAAGGAGTGATATGAAAACGATCACTCAATGTTCTGCTCTCGCTAGCCCGCAGAACAAGGGCAGGACAAGGAAATGCTAATCAGCCAAAAGGCAACACACTTATAACACTTTTGAATTTTTAGCTCTTCTCAAGCACTCTCAATTAAGATGATAGTACTTTAACAGACATACTATTAACCTCTGAAATCTGCTATCAGTGCAAGAAAGATAGAGGATGACTAGAAGTAGCAACCACAGTTATAAAAATGAGAATACAATTGCAAGGTTTGCTGGTGTTCATATGACAGGGCAAAATCTGATCATTAGCTGGGTCTCAGAGAAATGTCCATCTTTACCTCCCAGGATATCAAACTGCCTAGGTGCACTGTAGGCAGTACTGGAAAAACTAGACTTGAAAAATCAGTCAGTCTGACCCAGCAGCTCCAAGGAAATATAAGCAGAGATGTTAATGGCTCTAGGAAATGACAGGTCTGCCAGCATCATGAAATCTTGAAGTAAGAATGCTGCAAATTACTACAGCCACATGTTATGATTGTTATTTTTAAATCTGTTGCAGATCTCCAGTTGAAGGACACATTCTGAATAAAATGTCAAGCCCTTGATGGTTGGTTTTGGTTTCAACTTTCTGCTGTTGTGAAAATCTAATTCTAAAGCTGAGGAAAAATACTTTAAGATAAAGTATTGATTTTCTTTGTCAAGCAACCGAATTTTAAAAAGCAAGTGAAAATCAGCTGCTTTCAAATATAATTATAGGGGTTTCCCTTTCCTCTGAAAGATGGAGACAAGCAATGCTGAAGGCAAAGAGCGTGATAAGATGCACCCATGGCCTGTTTCAGCCTGGCATTTCACCTACACTTAATAATAATAATTTTACCATGCATAACAGAAGATGCACATATTTAATGCATTTAATATGGAAACACTGCTACAGCTTAACTCTTTGGGCCTTTAATGCTGCAAAATAAAGGTCACACGAGACCAAAGTAGAGTGCAATCAACTGAGGAAAGGGGTTACATATTAAAAACTCAAAACAAAAAATTGCCAAGGAACATCTGGCAAAAAGGGCACAACCTCCGGCACTGGGAGTTTGGACACAAACCAATTCCCTAGGTCATATTTACGAGCTCACATAAAAACTGACCATAAAACACCCAGAAGTGTTTGTTACTGCACATTAGCATATTAGAGGTAGTGAAATTTGCATGATTTGGAAATTACATTTCTGAATACATTTACAGCATTTAATATTCCACATACTGTACATACTGTCCTATCAATAACAAAGTACATATGTAAATTAAAAACGCAGTACAGAAATAAATGTCAAATGTCGTGATCAACAAATCAGAAAGACTTTCAGTCCCGACTACACCGACAAGCAGGTACGGAGGTAACACTAGTGTCATAATGTGCAACTAATTGTGGGCAAGCTTAGAACCGTATTCAGCTTCATCTTAATGGGTTCTAATCACATTTGTGAGGGATCTGGATAGGACATAATTAAAAATATGGAATCCTGGAACAAAACCCTGTATTTCACCTTGCAATTGAAGTTGCTCGTATATAGTCAAAGTACATTTAAACAAGGAAACATAAAAAACTATTTAAAAAGTCCTACAGCATTGTATTATTTGGACTTCCATTTTATAGCTTTAAAAAAAAAACAAACAAAAGAACTTATAAATACTGCAAATACATTAAGTAACTTCTGAGGTTACCAGACACGACAGTTAGAAGATAGGAAATGCCAGGCTGACTGATGTCTGGACAAACTTACTCCGGCCCTTCTGCATACATGATACAAAATTTTGTTGTGCAGTAAAGAACTCGTGTATTTATGGCTCACTTGCTGGGGAAGCCTGGAAGGAGTATGGGGAATGCAGTAGATAGCTTACAACAAATACGCTGTGTAAGACCAACTTCAGCTGAAAGTTTCTCGCACACTTTCTGAGCCGGTCACATAGCCACACAAGATTTCAGTTCAATTTGGTAAGATTTTGCCTAAGTGATACGCGTGAGGAAATGGGGACTTAAAAGGGAAAACTTTCCACAGCTTTAAAATACACTGTCATGCCAACCACTAAAATTAATTTCCTTTAATAACGTTGACCATTGTTTGCACAGAGCCTGCCCAGTAGGAGACACAATTTCTGGATAGTGGGGGACATCATTTTTCTTGGTCACACAATGCACGAAGGAGGTTATTTTGTGCTGGAAGGAAGCTGCTGACAGAAATGTGTCTTCCTTTCATAACCGCAGCTAAATGCCCTTCCAGGAAGGGAGGAATGGAAAACAGATCTTCAGCCACCTTACTAAAGCTGTGGAAAAGAGTGTGATGAGAAAGAGAAAACAAGAATACGCAGCTCACCAAATATAGCAAGAGCTAACATGACAGTGGGAAATTCAGCACTGAAAGGTTCTTCATTTATATCTACGGTAGATTAAGACATCAGTAGTACTGTACTTCAGAATAGGTTGTGGAGATAGCAGCTTCCCTCAAACACACAATTACTTTATTACAAAGAGTGGAAGGGCTTAGTTCTATTTTAGGGTGGCTTAATATAAAACACTTGTGATCCATGGAAGGAGAGATGACAGAAATATATCCGTGTCAGATGACTCCAGCTACTCTCATGGCCAAAATCTCTTATGTAAAATCTAACTCAAGCGCACTGAATCCCTTGTTATAAAGCTGTTACACAGACTATCCCTATAGATAGTGCATTTCTCTGTTATTTACTTTATCGCTAAGTGCCAGGGAAAATAAACTACCTCATCTATACCAAGATCAGATATTTGTGCCAAGTCTGACTGTACCCAACGAGTGTTATCACCTGAGTCATAAGACAGAACAAGCGCCCTGGAGAAATCGCTGCCATTCAAGACACATTCCAAGAGAACCAGCTGGTTGGTTTTAGACTTCTTCAAACCCAAAGCTACAGAATTCAACACTGCTGAGTCAGAACCAAAGTCTGATTTTGACTGAAAACTGCTCTCCACCGCCAGCCTCTAATTTCAAGCTTTTTAAAACATTCAGTACCTCACCTGCCGTTCGTATTTGACATGGGTTATGCAAAAAAGAGGAAGAGTGACTCACCTGGTATTTTGGGCATTGTTCTTTTGGATCAGAGAACGAGGAGGATGAATTTATTGAACTATCCAAGGAAGAAGAGCTGTCTCCTCCAGGCTTCAGTTGGCAACATTTCCCAAAAACTCTCACCTGAGCGTCGCTGCAGAGTTTCTGAAATACAGACAACATATGTGACACACTGAGACCTACAACCTGAAATCACCGTTTAGCAGCATTGTACTTACCTGTTTAGGTAAGATATTTAACAGCTGAAAGGCTTATGCCAGAGGAAAACAGTTAACAGAATATTCATTAGCATCTCTTGCAGCCTGGCTGTACGAAAGAAAGCTGAGCTGTTTTACTTCCAATTAGCCAGGAGCTAACATGTCGCTCCAACTCCATTTTCCTAAGTAGCCATCCATCTCTGAAGCTTTACAAATGACTTTTTTAGACCCAGGATTAGGAGAAAGGATGGTACCAAAGTGTTTAAAGGAAGGATGGCAACAATAGGCTTCAGCTGTCTTCATCTTGCTCCCTGTGCCCACTGGGGTGGAGGTGACACAGCAGTGTGATGGGCACGGCCCTCCAGAGTGACGATGCCGGCCAGATCACGACAAGGAGCAGTTCAGGATGTATGGGAAAACACAGTGATTGGGAATAATCGAGCAAGAACAACACAGAATTCAAGAGAGATTCATGTTACAAGGATAAGTGGAGAGAAAAGATACTATTTTTATAGATCTCTCCCTAGCGGTGTCTAAGTCCCCTAGTCTTTTTAAAGAGTGGCACAGAGGTGACACGTTCCTCTCGTTTTCAGTACGAGGGAATTGTAAGGCTGAAAATGGACAAAGCTGAGAAACACAGTTAGTGTTACAGAGAAGCCAGAAAAGTTTCACAAAACGATGGAGAAATGGTCCAAGGGGTGATTTCTGACAGAGATTCAGACAGAAAGCACAGCAAAAAAGGGAGTTAGGAGGGCTCAGATAGAGCTGGAACTGACATACAGGATGGGTAGGATCTGTGCCCACTCTACACACGCAGTATTATCAATCACTGGCAAGGGAGACGCTCCACTACTGTTTCGTTCCCTATTTAAAAACATTTGCGATTTCCCCTGCGAATCTCAGCATCCCAAGCAGGATCAGCATCCACGTTAGTTAACGCCATTTACGCTAGCATTAGGCAACCCTCTTCACCTAAAGATCTCAACGTATTTTTCATACACTCATTATACTTCAACACACCCACGTAAGGTTGGCATTATTTACATTTGCTAGTGCGCAGCACTAGGAGACAGAAATAGTCTACACTGCTCAAAATTACATACTAACTCTGCCCTAAGACTTCTTAATTAACATTTCCTATACAATCACCAAACCAGTAAGAGCAAGCTGGAAGCAAAGCCTTCGCGGGACAGATGGAAATACAGAAGTGCTGTTACATGTCACAGTTTATCTCTGGACTCACAGGTCCACATCACAAGCTCCCCCTTCATTCAGAAACATAAGTATGTCTCAATCTTTTAATAGCTATGAAAAAAAAAAAGGAAAAGGCATAAAGAAAAGTGTGAAATACCCAAGGCACAGGGTGGTTAACTTCATGACTTTGCTCGATAATCAGCAACAACTGTACAAAAAGATGACTGCCTTACTGCTGTGGAGGGATTTTGATGAGGGACAAGATGGGAATCCCATGCCTCTGTCCCAGGCTGTGCAGATTACTTTTTTTTTTTTTTTTTTTTTTGCTAAATCTCACCCACAGTTAGGGACAGCTGACTTTTATTTGGCCCTAACTGTGGGTGAGATTTAGCAAAACAGCAGAAAATGTCAGGCGTCATCGAGCTCCACGCAGCAGTCTGCACTGCTGCTCCCATTAGAGAGCTGCTGCCACAGAAAGCCTGAAGGAAAAATGTGCAGACAAATTGGTAATTCTGTGGCAGAGGGGAAGGAAACATTCACTAGCCGCTGAGTCCTGTGCTTTACCGACATACACAGCTTCCCATAGTAGTATCCTCTCATTACGACATCCTGGTGAGTACGTTGAATTCATGCAATATGTAGATTTGCTAATGGCTAGTATCTGTGGCTTCAGCACAGTACACAATGGCTGGAACATGTGAATGTTCATCATATGACTTCAGCAGAAACTCGTGAACTAGAATTGCATTTTATCTCTGACACAAACAACAATGTCCTAGGCTAGGCAAGCATCATGTGATAAAACCACATAAAATCCACAGGGTTACAGAAGCTTTTGCAGGCAAACCACATTTCAGCTTGCATTTTCCATCAGATGTTGAAAGTTCCTTCTAAAAAGTTACAATTATAACTAAGCTTCCTTGAGACTGTAAAGCCAGTAAATGCATTTCTACAGGTGAAAAAAATTTCTGTGTGTTAAAAGAATAGGCTAAGTTTGCAAACTACTTACTGTTAAGTAATTTCTTCTCATTATCACTGCATTTTTCTGCACAGCAGCTTTCCCCAGATCCACTGGGGAGCCTGGTATCTTGAAGTAATAGTTGCCTAATTTAAATAGCAAACCAGGAAAATGGCTGTTTGGTCTTTGCAGTGGAGTTTAATGAACGAAGACTCCCGCAAGAAGTCTGCAAAGGAGGTCAGGATCTTTCAGATACCACTTTTCAGAACCTTGCAAACAGTAAATCCCTCCTAAAACACAGATCACTGACAAATTTTGGTGTTTGCTCTTTTACAAACTTAGCATGTGCTTAAGAATAACCTGTTGGACAATCAGTACAGTACAGATCAAGTACCTGCAATGCCCCTCTCCTCTGCAGTTTCTGACTCCAAATGCCAATGAAATTTTAGATGCTACAAATCTCAAGACATTATGCATCAAAGAGTGGGATTACTTGCATTCCAATATAATATTCCAAAGATATTCAAACCAGGTTTCCAAAAATAAGAAGGTAACCTAATTATTTAAGAACTGTACAAGGGAAAGTTTCAAAGTTGTGGATTTTCTTTCCAAATAGACATAGCTGCAACAAATCAGATCCCTAGGCAAAGTGCTGCTGGAGTCCTCCGAAACGCTCGCTTTTGCTGGAGAGCAGAACATCTGCTGGAAGGATGCCACGGGCAGCTGCCACTCCTGGCTGCCACGCTGCTCTCCCCGCTGTGGTCACACTCTTTGTTCTTTCTCTGCCAACTCGCTGCAGATACCGCCCAGCTCCAAAGAATTCCTGGCAGTCACAGTTCTTACATTAGAGGTCATCATTTGCTGAAAGTCTTGGAGACCTATCAGGTAGTACTGAAGATAACTTAGAGTAAAATGTCTTTATAGTACGACAGGGTACAAAGTAGTTTTCTTCTACAGTTCTGCTTCTGGAATCTCTTCTCTCCCCCTCTATCAGCAAAGACCTTTAACTCTTTGCCACAAGGTCTATAAATTCTTCGGTAAGTGGAAAGAACATGCCCAGTCCTGTGTGCAGGAAGAGGAATTTCTGCCGGGCAAGTTTTGGTTTGGGGATAATAAGAAAGTTGAAAGGAGCCTGGTGTGTTGAACTAAATCCAGACTGTGTGCATGTGTGTTAGGGCTGTGAGTGACAGAAGGAAAGAGAAATGTCATCATATGCTTTATTCTTTCCTACCTCTCCGCAACAGCAGGTGCTCAAATACCACTGTGGTGGTAGTGATAGAGAAATCTGTATTTCCAAGCAAAGTTGCCACTCTTCAAGAGCTCTGTACCTCATTTCTAGAACAGGATTTTCAGCAAAGCTGAACAATTATTCCAAAATAGATAAAT